TGTTTTTATTGTTATTATGACACACATCTCTACCTTGATATGTATAAAGTTTGAAGTACATTTGTTATCTGTGTTTTTTAAAGGATGACACTACAGTTGTCTTATCAGCAATACTGTTAAACAGGTATTTTGGAGTTATCAAACTCCATACGACATAGCTCTGGCAGCTTCCCCTCTCTCTATCTTTCTCTATCTATTTATTTCTCTCTCTATCTATTTCTGTCCCTCCCTCCCTCCCTCCCTCCCTCCTCTCTCTCATCATGGGAGTATAAACTCAGGAATTCCTCTGAATGTTTAATAATGTTCAATAATGTCTCTGTAAAAAGCTATTTCATTTCAAATTGTACATCTGAAGAGTTATTCTGTACAGCTGCGAGTAGAATGAACTCTCATATGCAAAGTTTCCTTCAGTTCTAATTTCTCACTTTCTTTTTCCTGCGTTGTTTATGTACATTCCTCTTTTGCCTTTAACACACAGTAGCATCTATGGTGAAAGAAAGAAAGAAAGAAAGAAAGAAAGAAAGAAAGAAAGAAAGAAAGAAAGAAAGAAAGAAAGAAAGAAAGAAAGAAAGAAAGAAAGAAAGAAAGAAAGAAAGAAAGAAAGAAAGAAAGGAATCAACATACTCTAGGTAAAGAGGGAAATATAAATAAAAACGTATTGCACCGTTCAGCACCTTCAAAAGGTAACCTATCTAATTTACACTAACAGTGCATTTACCCTAGCAAATGCATTGACATTGGCACTTAGAAATGAAAACTCCAAAGCCAAGTACTTAACTTATATTCAACAAATATAAATGGTGTCAAAGACTATCATACTTATCTAAACCATATTGCTCTTTTAGGGGTAGAAATGTACTGTCCCACGTGGTGAAAATGTATTATTTTGTTCTGAGGTATTTTCCATTACATTTAGTGTAAATCAGATGTATTCAAGTATTGGGGTGGAAGTGGAAGGCACCACATATTCCTTGTTTGATAATCCTTAAATATAAGAGTGCAATTTATCCTCTAAACTTGTCCAGTATTCCTAATGGTGTATTATCAAGTGAAATGTTGAATACTAATTCAAAGAGATGCTTAGATAGTTGTTGGTCCATGGTAATGCCAAATTCTTCCGTTGTGGAAGATAGTTCTGTAGCATGTGTCATGTGGTTAGCTTAGTGGTTTCTTTGTTGTTTTCTCTAGGAACTTTCCAATGTCACATTCTGGGAATTTCAATTGACATTCTTTAGTTTTCCTCACAGTATAAAGTACCAATGACAGAGCTCCACAGAATGTACTGTTACTCTGAGTACACTGAAATATACCAATCACCCCATTGTGATATTTTTGAATTTGAAAAAGAAATATAAACATGTTCAGTTATTTATTTTGACAATGTTTCTATGGGGATGATTTGTTGGCACAAAATGTAGGCCTGTAAACTTCCTAACATTGATTCTTGTGATTTTTAATGGTTGTTGTTTTTACTGACAATTTGGATGAAAGACAAGTCTTTTCTGTGTTTTATGATTCACAATGTCCTTATTTAGTACAAATTAAGCAAACGTTTAAAGAGGTAAAAGTGTTTACAAAAGTCTGTGTAACATGTTTGTGTTTTTTAAGGATTTTTCCATGACAAGAGACTTTGCATCATTGGATTGATAAATTAGGGTTTCTAACTGTTTTTAAAATGGAACATTAAATTGTAAGTGGATGATGGGTTCACACAAGATTTTAAACGTACATTTGACAAATGCAGCTCCAAGTCTTGCCTTAGAGGTTTCAAAGGCCAAACTCACGTGAAAGGGAACGGAAGGTGTCAATTTAAAACCATACTGTGGAAAAATAACATTCTGTCAATACCTTGGAAAAAATTACTGATTTGAGTACAACCACAATGTTTACTTGTTGGGGAAAAACATAATCGCATTTTCTCTTAATGTGCATTAACAATGTTATTTTTTCCACAGTGCAGGTTTGATTGAATCCCAGCCTGAGTGTATGCAGAGGTTATGCCTCATGAACATTATGGACTCTTACACTTATCTACCTGCAATTCTGCATACCTCTCATTTTGGGTCAATGACTGTACAGTAGGAATACGTTGTATGTGGTTTTGTTTCTATGGTTATTATTGTATTTGTAGATTTTTTATGTGTAATTTGAGTAAACTGCAAGACAACTGATATCAGCTGTTTCACTTTTCCCTTTTTAGCTTTTAATGTTCAAATTGCCTGAGTTCGTTATATTGTAAATATTGCATAACTGTTGTTTTTGTTAATTTGACATGCAAATGTTTTGGAAGAAAACTTTTTGTCAAAATGCAATTTCTGTTTATGGATTAAAACAAATCGCATGTGCCAATTCTTTGTATACTTTTTACTGTAAAATTATGATATATCTAAAATAATAACCCATCAAAGACAATGAGAAAAAGTGATTTTCAGTTTTAGTAAATAAGCATTTAATGTCATGAATTAAGATTGTATATCAACAACTACAGACACACTCATAATAACCTATTGTTGAATGTTTGACTTAAAAAAGTTCAAACTAAATAATACGTTTATAAAAGTGAATGCTCTATATAAGCATATAAAAGTATTTCCAGGGACAAGATTACATTTTCCATGGTTTGCAAGCTCCAACATTCATTTATCAAAATAATTATAAGTGCTCACACTTCACATGTTCCTCTTGATGTCATTTTCAATTTCTGCCACAATCCAACCACATACAATGTCACTCATTTGGAGATTGTAGGCATTTTAATGAGGTGCTTTGAATGTAAAATACACTGGGGAAACAGCACTGCTTATGCCCACCCATGACTTCGCAAGGGTTGGTGGCTGTTTTTGGCCCAATTTAGTCTGGAGAACCAATCAATGATGGGCGCAGTGTTATTGATATCTCTTGTGCGTTGTTTCACTCGTAGGCAACTCCTGGGTCAGATTTTTGCTCTTGTCCCTCTTCACTTTTTCATGATAGAGGAGATGTCCAAGAATACACTCTGAAAGAGAGAGAACATTTGGGATTGAAAGAGGCTATAGATAACACATTGACACTAGTCATTATGACTTTCTATCTGCAAGATTTCAAAAATGTCTTTGCAGTCTCTACATTACAAGTTATCTATTGCAGCTTTACTGGGCAAATCTAGAGAAAACATTAGCATTCTCTTTCTTTTCTTTCTTTCTTTCTTTCTTTCTTTCTTTCTCTCTCTCTCTCTCTCTCTCTCTCTCTCTCTCTCTCTCTCTCTCTCTCTCTCTCTCTCTCTCTCTCTCTCTTTCAATTCAATTTCAATTTCAATTCAATTTCAATTTAAGGGCTTTATTGGCATGGGAAACATATGTTAACATTACCAAAGCAAGTGAAGTAGATAATAAACAAAAGTGAAATAAAAAATTAATATTAACAGTAAACATTACACTCAGAAGTTCCAAAACAATAAAGACATTTCAAATGTCATATTATGTATATATACAGTGTTGTAACAATGTGCAAATAGTTAAAGTACAAATGGGAAAATAAATAAACATAAATATGGGTTGTATTTACAATAGTGTTTGTTCTTCACTGGTTGCCCTTTTCTTGTGGCAACAGGTCACAAATTGTGCTGCTGTGATGGCACACTGGTTTTTCACCCAGTAGATAAGGGAGTTTATCAAAATTGGGTTTGTTTTAGAATTATTTGTGGATCTCTGTAATCTGAGGGAAATATGTGTCTCTAATATGGTAATACATTTGGCAGGAGGTTAGGAAGTGCAGCACAGTTTCCACCTCATTTTGTGGGCAGTGTGCACATAGCCTGTCTTCTCTTGAGAGCCAGGTCTGCCTACGGCGGCCTTTCTCAATGGCAAGGCTATGCTCACTGAGTCTGTACATAGTCAAAGCTTTCCTTAAATTTGGGTCAGCCTCTCTCTCTCTCTCTCTCTCTCTCTCTCTCTCTCTCTCTCTCTTCTCTCTCGCTCTCTCTCTCTCTCCTCTCTCTCTCTCTCTCTCTCTCTCTTCATCCCTGTACCTTCCCATATTATGCTTTGAGTCATATTCTCATGCAATGTTGTTATAAACTCATTTTACACAGTGGTGATGGCTCTCTAAACCACCAGGTCAGAGGCTGCCTGTCTCTTGGCTCTACTTGCCATTGACATTCTCCTTCCAGGGGGTGGCATCATTGGCATGTCCACCATGTCGCCCAGCTCGGAATCTGAGCTCCGTAGAGAGTTGCTGCTGTAATCACTGATGGGGGACATGCTCTCAGAGGGCATACGAGATTTGTAGCTTTCCTTCCTTCCTGGGTTGGGGAAGAGGAAGTCGCTGCCCATTGAGTCCCTCCTCTCCTCCTCCAGGTCCGTGTCCCTCAGAGCCAAGCTGGGTCTGTGTGTTGTCATGATGCTGGGTATGTGCGTTGCCATAGTGGCTATTACTTCCATGTGGCTGGGCTGGTAGTGGTCTTGGGGGTGTAAGTTGGGGTCCTCATGGGTCGACTGGCCCTGCAGGTTCCTGGTCCCACTATCCCCATTCAAGACAGCTCCTCCATAGGCTCGAGGGAGCTGGTCCACCATGGTGGTGGTGTGGTTCTCTGGGACTCCCTGGAGGTGCAGGGTCTGGATCATCCCCTGGCTCGGCTGACGTTGCTGGAGCTGCTGCTGCTGGTATTGCTGATGGGGCTGGAAGCCAGTGCAGTTGGCCAGATAATGGCCTGGAGCCACGCTGTTGTGCCTGGTCACATCTTGGTTAGGTATGTAGTGGGGAGGTGGGTCCATTGGGTCCAGGTCCTTCTCAGGAATTACTTTGAAGATGGTCTGAGTCAGGGGCCCGTTGTGAGTAGACAAATTCCTCATCACACACAGATGCTGTATCGTCGCGTTTTTCTTCAGTTTGTAAATCAAACTGTCATTGTCTGCTGGGTACTTGTCTCCCTTCAGAGTCTGTTTGATTTTCCTGATGCCCAGGTGGGATATCTCCATTAGGTTCAGGAAGAGAGACACCCCGGCGATGACGATCATGAACAC